TAAAAGTTCCTAGTCCACACAAAGAAGAGAATCTCACACACCATGCCTTCCTAAGGTAGCAAATATTATCGACTCACAAAAGAGGAAGAAAGTAGTAGAATCCCTCACGTACCGATACTCAAACTATGCAACTATCACCTAAGATGCACCATACATCAATCAATCTAATCAATTCAAAGCACATCGAGTAGGTAATTGCAAAGGCAAGGTGTTTTGGAACCCTCAAATTTGAAAAAAAATGGGTGTAACATTCAAGGTTCCAAAAACACTAACAACTTAATGGTTTTCTATTAGTTACCAAGGGTTCCCGGCCACGGCGCCAAAAAACTTCCGTGCAGGTTATTGTCAGAGGTTAGCACGTATCAACAACTATCCCATCCTAGGCCAAGTTTAGCCTAGAACGGCATTTTCGTATAGTGGTAATCAAGGTCGTATTCTACTCGGGTCGATGTACCCTAGCCTACTTCCCACCTAGTTGCTAATTAGTTAATCGGTTTTTGAGGTTTTGAGTGGATGATATGAGGAAACACTAGTATAGAGATTGATCAAAGCTAAAAGCAGGTACTTCGGTGAACTATCTCTCCCCCTAGCTTAGGGTTACTATGTATATAAAGATACTTAGAGGTATCGAATGTGGTGAGTGAGCTCTTTTCTGTGAGCTTTTGTGGTTACCCACATGCCTTCGAGTACGCCTCCCCTAAACCCATGTTATAGTCACCTCGATCTAGGGTATCGTATCTAGGGTATTAAGCTTATGGCTCCTTTCAATGGACACTATCCACCGTCCACACCGAGTTTTCATCCCGGGTTCCATCTAGGAAGGCTACCCATAGCAGGGTTTCGGTCGCTTCAATCACTATAGGCCCCTATTCACACATCTATCTTAAATTTGCCAGATGGCGCATACTCTTCTAACCCTATAACTCCATACCCAATGCAGTAGCATAAAGTAGGCGAAGAGGGAAAATTAGAGCTATTTAACCAAGCATCATCATTTAGGAAATAGTGGCATTAAAATCAACTAGACAAACACATTCATTCTTTCAAACCCTAAAATATCCATACATACATAGTGAGCCCTAAAACTAGGGTTTGTGGTTTAGAACTCCTAGTACCTTAGAGAACTACTCCATAAAGGAGGGTAGAAGATACATGGTAGAAATAGAAGAAGATGCCTCCTTGCTCCTAGCTCCTCCTTCTCCTTCTCTTCTCCTTCCTTCAGCTTCTCTCTTTTTTCTCTCCCCAGAACCAAAAAGTTTCTCTCAAAATCACTTCAACTCAAAAGGGGGAAATGGGTTTTCTATTTATAGGCAATTTGTAGACACAGACAAGTTCACGACCTGAGGTAAGGAGATCGCTGGCGGAATCTTTGGTCTCTAACCGTGATCTCAAAACGCAGTCGTCGAGGCCTTTGGGAAGGGGAAGATCGCGGGCTGACTTTGTGGTCGTGATCCTTGAGTCGCGGCCGCGATCATCCTTGCGGGCAATGTGAACATTGGCGGTGACTTGGCGAGGAGACTCCGCTTCTCCAAGGCTCCTTCCCCCCAAAGTTAGCGGCTTGTGATCCCGGTCGTGATCTTCGGCTTCTAGGCCACGATTTTCAATTCCTGCCTCTTTTCTACACTTGTGACCTTGTTTTGTACCTAATTTGCACATATAGACTAATACACCCTAAAATCACATCGAAATCAAATAGGAACGCAATAGGGATGTATTTGACGATGTTCAAGCACAAAATTGGCCTCAATATGTAGGGTAAATAACACCAAATTTGGTGTTATCAGTTATGTTTTTTTGGCATCTTGTTTGCAGTTTGCGGGGTTGCAAGCTAAACTTCTTGTCCTTCTGGTATTATATCTCCTGGCCATGCTTTTGATGACATCCTACGCATCTTTAATGAGTTTACATGTTCCAATTTCTGACGTGACCCTAGTGGAGTTGTTGCCCCAAAGCTTATGAAGAAATTGGCAGACTTAATTTCGTGAAGGTTGTCACTACTTCTGATTCTGTTTTCTTTGGTTGCGCATCAGGTGATTTTGTGGAAGTCTTAGCAGAGTGCGCACTTTTCTAATTGGTTGCGTGTTGTTCCTATTGTTGGGTTGATCCAGACTATTAATAAGAGGACATATTGTAGTGTGCTTAGTTATCGACTGGGTTTCCCATTGTTTTTGGTATCTATGCCCTATCCTGCTTGTTGCCGTGTCTTTCATGGTGATGTCTTTGGGGATCATGTTGTGTCATGTGTTGGTTCTGTGGGCATTAAGAATCGATATAACCTTGTTCCCGACACCTTATTGGACATTTGTTATAGGTCTGGGATTTCTGCCTGTTAGGAGGTTGATATCGGTTTGGTTGATGAGCATGGTGGACCCCTTCGTCCTGCAAATTTGCTTCTGTATTCTTGGTACATGGGGCGAGAAGTGTGTGTCAATTTGACTAGGTCTTCACCTTTGACTCAGACTGGGATGACTGATTTTGTGTCTGGCCGAGTTGTTGTTGTTGATGCTGCTCAACGAAAGTGCGCCAAGTATCGGGACTTGTGCATCACGGATGGTTATGGTTTCCTGCCTTTTTCCTTTTCTTCGATGGGAGAGTTGGATACAGATGACGTGACTTCGCTCAAGAGGATGCAAAAATTCTCCGTATCTCAGGATGTGGGGCCTCGGGTGGTGCCTAGAATTTACTAGACTTAGCTTTGCTATAGCTAAGCGAGTGGGGTCCAGATTATATCTCGACTGCTCGCTAATTTTTTGTAGACTTTTGTTTGTTTTGCTTTCACATTTATAATAATAATAATAATAATAAATGAGATAATGTAAAGATGTGGGGAAAGCATAAAAAGAAAGAGAACTCCTCCGCTTTTTTCGGAGCCAGGAAATTGTATGCGATTAGAGTTTGATTGCGCGGAATCAACTGATGGCGGCGGCTGGTATGCCGACCACATCACCGGAGATAACCATACCTCCAGAATCTTTGGGGGGCCTCCGCAGGGCTCCGGTAGTCTAATCTTCCCCAGATGGAAAAGGACCGCGAGGTTCAACAAGCGATGAAAAGGGTTGGCCCGCTGGATCTGAGGAAATAGGATCGTATGCAAGACGAGGTGATTGTCGAGGATATCACGGAGAAAGATCTGGGTAATACGACCAGGAAGGGACCTAGACACGATGTGTTAGGAGTGAAGCTGAACGCGCCGCCACAGCCGATGTCCTGGGGCGTTAACAAAGAACATTGATGAGCTACATGATACAATCTGCAGTGAAGAACACAGGCTCTACCGCTCTTCTCATAATCCATAAAGTGATACGAAGAAGAAAATGAAGCAGAGCCAAACGATGTCGTTGGGTATATAGTTTTTTGTTTGATGTTTTTACTGTTTGTTTTTACATGTGTCCATAGCTGATTAGTGTAGTTAAATTCTTTTGTAAGTAGTCGGTTTACCCAATAGGTAGATGGTCTTCTCTGTACATATATAAGGCAATTGCCTGATGAATGAAAGGCTCAACACGAGCATTTCCCACAGATCTCTGATTCTTCTCATGGTATTAGAGCCTGGTTTCTCATCTTAGTGCAGCTAGGGTTTTCAAACCCATCAACACATTCTTCTTCTTCTTCTCTATTTCTTTCTTCCCAAAATCAATTATGAATCATGTCTGGAGAAAAGGGAGACAACTCTGGTGAAGATAGTAATATGACGACCCGTACCTCAATCCCTACTTCTTACCTCCTCAAGATGGAGCACTGTCAACCATCATCGGTATCAAGCTAGTGGATGGAAACTATCATACCTGGAGTCAAGTTATGCTGGTGGCTCTGGCCACAAAGAAAAAGTTCTCCTTCGTTAATGGTGAAATACCAGTTCCTGAGGTAACAGATCCACTTTATCAATCATGGCTTCGATGCAATGGTACTATAAGATGCTGGATCTATAATGTTTTAGCTGATGATATAACTAATAGTGTTATGAGGTTAGATAATGCAAAAGATGTATGGGATAATCTAAGGAATCGTTTAGCCAGGAGGATAACATTAGGGTTTATGATCTGGAAGGATAAATCTCAATGTGGATATTTGGGGGCCTTTGAGCACTCCTTCTTACATGGGAAAGGAATTTCTCTTTTTCATTTTTGTGATAATGTGGAATTTCTAAAAGATTGATTTTTATTTTTAATTAATTTTTATTTGTCACTTAACGGTCAACTATCAGAGTTGACTGCCATATCAGCAAAAGTTAATGGAGACTAACGGAGAGTGACCAAACTTGAACTGTTGAACTAATCTTAGTGACCATGAATGGAATAAATTAATTTTAGTGGCAAACGTGAATTTTTTTAGTAATTCCAATGACCAAACTTGCAATTTACCCTATTTCTAATGTATCATTTGAACAAGCCTATGACATAATTCATTCTCACTGATACAGACACTACGTAAAACTTATAGATATAACTTATCCTGATTTTGAGAATTATTTGATTCCAACTAAACAAATTTATAAATGAATAAAATTTTAAATATTATTAGTTTCTTGCCGTTGGGAAGCGCGGGCAAAAAAACTAGTATGTTTTACACCTGTTACATGCAATTGAGCATTAGTTTTGTTTCCCAATTCCTTTGCTTTCATTTGTTCAGTAAAGGGAAATGTCAGATGTGTAATGCGTTGTAATTAGTTATGTTGAGATACTAGAAGGAGAATTTGGCATCTTCAGAGTGGTATGTTCGTGGTGGGTTCGCTTGCTTCATAGTGGTATATATGTGATGGTAGTAGATGATAGTGTAGTCCAGTGACTCATTATCTGGTCGCTGAGTAGCTTGCTATTCATGGCATTGGTCTGCCAACTGGTCAGTCCATCAATTTGAGACGACATAGCAGCCTATTAACTGATAGTATATAGAATGCGGCATATGAGTTGATTTTCCTCTGATAAGTTCTGATGGGAGTTCAGGAACCGTATGATCAATGTACTCTATCGGTGAAGGTATTTCAACTACCCAACAGTTCGGAGACTCGATAACATTTCTTGTTTGCATTTGTTCGTAATGTCTAGTCAGATCCGATTCCCTTGGGACGATGAATTGCAGTGGGCTATTATGAAATTTAGAGGGAAACCCCCTGCTGCAAAAAACTAGAAGACTGATCAGGAATGCCTTGATCAGTGGACTATGGAGGGTACACAGCTCCTGTCGATTTGCAGGTTACGGGACAAGTCTGCGAACTGATGCGAGAATAGAAGTATATATACACTATAGACTGCAAAAAATTACGCATACAGACTGCCTTCAACCGTGAGACTCTGCATAGCTAGTCCGACATGGCATCATCAAGAATTGGTCCTAAGCGAAGTTTTCTTTTTAAATTCTAACATGTGTGAAAATTTCAAGTCTGTTATGCATTCGATTCAGCAGACAATATAACGTTTGTTTATTCCAGCAGCCTTCAAGAACATCTGCATGAACAAAAACAACAGGCAAGAGATGCCTAATCACTCAGTTCTTCTGATTGTCGTGCTTTTCCCCTTCGAACGCATCAAGAGATCACCAACATATAGTTTCCAAACGGTTTCCCTGTGCGTCTAAAAGAAGGAATTAGATTGATCATATCAACAATTTGCATTCCAGTGTATTAGTCGATATCTCCTTAACGTCGACAAACCTCCATTACCTGGATAAATTTCCTGCATGTCGAATAAGTTACAGACCTTTTGACATGAGACGAAGATCTTTATCTGAACCGAGCGAAATCTCCCATGTGCTGTAGAATTAAGCACTGCTGAAAATACAATAGCAGCCATAAGATATTAAATCAAGCTGGGAGTACGCAAAGCTTATAAACATCTTTTCACACAAAAGCAACTACCGAGATGGCACAACCACATGCACTCTACAGAATTACCATACTGTATGAAATGCAGCTTCTTCCTTCAACAACTTAAGCCACCATTAATGGGGAGATGTAACAGATCGTATAAGGCCATATAGGGTAAATAACAACAATATCCTCATTACAACGCTACTCTAATGAGTAGGCTCAACAAAATAATTGATAAGTAATTGTAGCTAGAGGCAGTGACTTGAAGAATAACATGGCAGAAATGCACAATTCTGAACAAGCAAGTATAATTCCCGAAGATTATGAACACTACATAATGTCATCATCCATGTTCATACTATAGACTACAAGAGTGGTAGTATTTTTCTCAGACTGCAAACTTAGATGCACTACAAACAATGCATGACAAGAAGTGTCTGTTATTTACAAACAACACCAGGACAGTTAACCTGAAAGACGACATTCTGCAGTTAGGCATGTCACTGAAAAGTGAACAAGCAACAAGATTAACTGAGTCTGTTGGCCTCTAAGTTCCCAGCTATGCATTTCACGTCATTGACTCATTTCTAACTGGTAGCATTGATCTAAGACAATTTAGAGAATAACTGTAGGAGGTAAAGATGGAAGCTGGTCCAAAGCTAGCAAGTCATTGAGGGCAAACCTTGTGATGACAGCATCGGGTTTGAATCAAGTCCATTACATGTTTAATTCAATTTGAATAAGAATGCAAAGAGTTCTGCAAACGGAGAAAACAAGCTGAAGGCATCATTCGCCCTGCAGCCCGTCCCTTATATAGGCTGTAATCATTGCGCTATATGCAGCAGAGCTTTTGCAAGGGATTTCGTCAAATACCTTCCATGCTTTTGCAAGTTTGGCCATTCTGAGAGTAAGCAGTGAGGATAGCAGTATAGGAAATGAGGCTTTTGTAGGACACTTGTCTAAAGAATGAAGATTGCTTCGCACTGATGGATGTTACCCTCTCTGCCACGCTCGGTGATCAGGGGATTGCCGTTAACCACAACCTAGTCAAAGGGTCCACGTTTCTGAACCAGTTTCAGGTAAATACTGAGAATTTCAACAACGAAAATTTTTGAAACAAATAATAAGAAATTAAGAACACAAAGAAGAATCACCATTCTATCACAAACGTCTTGGCTCTACCTTTTATTTATCCCTCTGGATTGGCAATGTGCCCTGTATACCTGCAGATTAGAAGGCTTAGTTTAGAAAGTGAAGTAACTTCCCAAAAAAATTGTGTACAAAGAATCAGATAGCATTCAAGAGACCACATCATTCGATAGATGCAAACCAGATCAGATTGGCAAGTTTATCAGTCTTACAGAAGTATGTAAAATTCAGCCAAGTAGCTAACTTGGGCATTTCTGCCTTCCTTCAGGCATGCAAGCATCATATTTTTCACTGCAACGCCATTATCATCCACACCTTTCATAACTATCTAACCGTACAAGTTATCTGCTTCACTGAATATTCCCTCATTCACTTAGAACCATATCAATAAATGGCAAAGATGGTATCAAAGCAATAGTGTACAACTTAGAGCCTCTCAGCTCGAGCACAACTATTCAGCAAAGTAATAAAAATAAAAACTTCTTTGGTATATGATGTAAAAGAAAACTTGAAAAGTGACAATTCCTCCTACCAACCTACTAAGTTTATGAGATTGATTGATTACTTAGTTGAAGTTAAAAATTGTAGTTCATTGTAGGGTATCTCCCAATTTTTTGTAGTTTGGAATTGGGATAGGTCCGAGACTAACACTAACCTTCAAGATCGTACGATCTAATGCAGTCCCATACTAACATTGGTAAATTAAGAACTCTAGCTCTTCTCTCTTCAAATTGCAGGAAATCATAGCAATCCGAGAGACCTGATGAAAAAAACATTTGAAAAATATAATTTCCTAGTTCTTTGAATGTTGACCAACTACACATAACATGAGTTATTAGCTCTTAGATGTAGTCTCTGTATCTAACAATTACAATGCGACTCATCAAAGTCTTCAACGAGACTTCATCTAGTTCTGAACAACATTAGATCAAGATCCTCTCGTCGTACAGCCACACTCAAGCCTTCTCTCTCCAGCCCAACACTGCCCAGAAACTCGATTTATGTCTTCTCCGGCTGTTGACCAACTGCCTCTATTCTTCTAACCTCTTCCACTACTTCTAGTCTCTTCAACTTGTAAGTGAAGTTGGCCAGAGAGTGATTATAGGGTGGAACACCAGTTGATCCTGTTGATCACGATCAGCCGGATGAGCAACCAACTCCACTTTTTCCCTCCTCAAGTCACAGGAAAAGATAGTAAACCGATTGTCAGCAACAGAACCCCCAAAGAAAAGAATTTCCGGCTTCTCTGGATGTAGACCAACTACATAATATAACTCTAATTCCGAACACTTAATTTCACCACCGTGCCAACGCTTTAAGTTCTTCACCGACACTTCGTAATGTTTATTCCAATCATTTTGTTCTAATCTCCAAACGCTCAAGACATCCTCTAGGAAAAAAATCATATGCAACGCACCTTGTGAGACCCAAAGGGAGGAGCCAGGTTTGAACCCATAAGCGTCAGTTAGAGTTGGCTTCCTCTCATCATCATCATCATCATCATCATCGCTATGGAGGAGGAAAGGATTCCACTCGAAAAACTGTCCTAGCCCATTCTCCCAATACAACCTCCCATTCAGCGAAACTGCAACATTGTGAGGATTCCAATGTGGTGCTATGCCATACGAAAAGGCTATCGACCCCAACCATTCCTCAGAGTTCGAACGGAATACCTGGAATACCGTAATTCCGGACTCCAATTCAAACATACGCACCACGCAGAATCGATAGTCAGAATGGTGAGTGATTGCTTCTTCTGCGTCGCCCAAATCCAATGTAATAGAATTGCAGGGCTCACACACCAATCTCGCAGTCCATCTCCCCTGCCTCGACGTGAGCATGGGAGGCGCTAAAGGAATGACGACCCATTGCTTTGAAAAGGGATTGCAGACCAAGAACCTTCTGCCCGACTCAGCGTCCTTCATGCTCTCCTCGACCCCTATCAAGAGCAAGTCCTTGTTGCAATCCAAAATGGATCGGACTTCACTCTTCACGGGTGGTAGAAAGCTACAGACCGGTCCCTGGGCGTCTGAGGCGATCAGAAGCGGCGGTTCGATTTCTCCGGCGGATAGGATCTGGCGGCGGTGATAGACCAAACGGCGGGCGAAGTAAGGAGTGGAGATTAGGGAGTTCAAACGCTTGCAGACGGGTTTGGATCGGAAGATGGATTTAGGATTCGGGAGGCGAATAAGGAGCTCTATCAGGAGATCGTCTCCGAGTTTGCTGATGGGGGACAGGGAGGTGGAGGTAAGTCTTTTCCGGTGGTAATTGCCGGTCGCCATTGCTGCAGTAGACGAGGTGGAGCTTTGGGGAAATCCCAATTTGTTCGAATCTTGCACAAATTTTTTTCTTTTTAATTTAGACGACTCCGGCAAAGAATGGAATAAAGCCCGACCTGATTCTGGCCCATTATTATCCAACCTTCCAAGGCACACACATATTTTTATTTTGCCCCTCTTTGGTAGAAGTAATTCTTTCTTGTAAGGTAAAGTACCCATTTCGATACTAAGGGTGGGTTGATAACCCACAGCGGAAGGCATTCTCCCCAATAGAGCGGATATTTCGGATCCGGCTTGGATGAAACAGAAGATATTGTCAATAAATAGAAGTACATCTTGCTCATTAACATCTCGGAAATATTCTGCCATGGTTAGTGCAGTCAATTCAACTCTCATACGAGCTCCCGACGGTTCGTTCATCTAACTATACATATTTTTATTTCGGAATGATATCAATGGATGACAAGAGTTATCCATGACCTCTTAAAAAATCTAATAAAGCCACCTCATAAAATCGATTGTAGCTTTAGATGAGACAAAAGCAGTGCTTTACGCACCACTCTATGAGCAACACTGTTGGCGGTTCTGGGTACCGCCCTAAACTCTATACAAACAGACAAAGAGTTTAGAATCTCACGACACTCTCGTAACACCGAACCACCAATTGAATCTTCTAAGACGCCTTGTCGGACCTGATTGACGATCACTTCGAAGTCACCTTCGACTAACACGTGAGTCAAAGATCTTGAGGCGATGATGGAGATAGCGTCTCTAAAGGCTAGAAGCTCTGCCAGGTAAGGGTTAACAATTCCTTAATGCTGTAGCCCGAATGCTAACATCACATGCCCGTCTGACCCACGGACAACAAGCCCAGACGAACACCCGGTGGCACAAACAGCAGCATCGAAATTGCCTTCAAATAGTCTTCTGGCGGAAGGACCCACGTGGTGGCAGGATGGTTTGGGAGGAGGGAGCTGCGGGGTGGAGGAGGGAGGAAATGGTTGGAGATTTCAAGGACCTGATTGTAGAATTGTCTGGCTAGGGAACGAACATTAGGTTGGTAGAGTTCAAAAGTCACTCTATTTCTAGAATTCCAGATTCTCCAAAGTAAGCAGACGCATTCGAGAATGTGGAATGGGGAGGTCTCAGAGACCATAACATGTCGTCACCATAGACTAAAGTTAACAGTCGGGGCGATCTCAATAAAGTTGCTCAATCGCCACTAACGAACACAATCTGGTGGCTAGGGGGCATCTGGCGAATAAATGTTCAATACTTTCTCGATGTCTCTAGCAGACAGGGCATCGGTTTAGGAAGTTTTGTCCACATGTTTGAAGCATTGCCATATGAAAATTTTTAGCTTAGGTGGGACTTGGATTTTCCAAGTCTTTTTCCAAATAGGAGGGTCGATGATATGTACTATCGGTTTCCGACTAGAAGCCAATGTTAAATTCCAAAGCTAGGTGATAACCCGATTCAATTGTATATTCCATCCTTGGAATAGTGTCACACTCTAATATCTTGTTGAGGGCGACGAGGTAGAGGGATCCTCCTCATGAGATCAACAGAGTGAGGTTCGAAGCAAAACTAGAGCTTTGGAATATCCCACTCCTCTTGGTCTTCTCTAATGAAATAAGATACCATAGGCGATCCATTTGGAATATGGGGCGGGTATTCGGGATTAAAGGTTTATCCCCCGATACCCAGTTATCAATGAATGCCCGAGTTCTTTGCCCGTTGCCTATTTGCCATCTTAGTCCCTATAGAAAGAATAAACTTCTCCATCCCCACGAAGGGTTTGAGCCGATTGATGCTTCCAGTACTGAGCATTGAGTAAAGTACCGACCCTTATAAATCTGGGTGAGGAGAGAGTTTGGGTTTGTCCAAATTCTCCAACATTGTTTAGCTAGCAGCGCTTGATTGAAGGCTCCGAAGTCTCTGAACCCGAGACCTCCATGAAATTTGCTATGAGCTAGACTTTTCCAAGACAACCAGTGGATTGGGTGTTCTGAATCCACACGAATCTTGAAATTACAATTTACATACCGCGAAAGGCCCACACGAATGGGGACTGCACTGTCACATTGAGATAGTTTTACACTAAAGTGCAACTTAGCAAAAGTCTGAGGACTCAAGTGTAAGAGATTAGAAGTATAGATATAGGTTTCAAAATATTTAGGGATCCATATTACAACTTCAACTGTGAGACTGTGTAATAGGGCACTAGCAAGTAGCACTAGCAAGAATGGATTCTATATAATATACAGTTGGATGTAATTTTACATTGAACTACCCAAACTTTTTGAACCTATTAACATATGTGAACTTATTTTTATTCATTTACAACAATAACATATATGAATTTCATGTCTGCTATGCATCAGATTCAGCAGACAATACTTGTTTGTTCCTTTCAGAAGCATCATAACCTTCAAGAACATCTTGCATGCACAGAAACAACAAGCAAAAGATGCCTAATCCGGTAATCCCTCACCGGTTTCAGTTCACTGCGTAATTACTAATTAGGAATTACCCTTCAGAAACAACGGAAGACTCTCGTCCTTAGGTCCAAAAAGTTTTCCCAGTTCATCTAAAAGAAGCAAAAGGACTGATCATATGAATAAATTGTATTTCAATATATATTTTGCGTCAATGGTAACGAAATTCCATTACCTGGATAAATTCCCTGCGTATCGAATAAGCTGCAGTCCACTGTTTGACCCGGTGAGCTAAGATCACCCTCCGAATGAGAATACATCTCCATAGTGCTGTGGCATTAAAACACTACAAAATATACGACGGCAGCCTTTAAGCTATTGTATCAAGCTCAGAATATGCGAGGGTATAAAAGTTTACTTGCACAAAAGCAACTCAAAAGACAGGACAACTGCAAGCAATCAACACAGTTACTACTGGGTGCAATGCAGCTTAGTCCTTCGATAGGCCACTATTATGGGGAGATACAAGAGATTGAACAGGGCATATGGGGTAAATAACAATAAGACTCCACACTGGAATACTAGACTGATGAATGGAATCCACAAATAAGATGATTAGTAATAACTAGAGGCAGTGATGAGAAGTAGAAGGCTCTGTAAGCACGGAGCGAAACATAGAGGAGTGAACAGCATGGGGATAAAAATAACATAGTAGAAATGCAAAACTCTAAACAAGAAAATAAACCATACAGAAAAGCTTATGAACTCTACATAATATATGCAACTATTACAGGTAAAGGAGACCACGGTATCTCACATAGATTGCAACTAATCAATTATAATCATTGCATGATATAAGACGTGTCCGTTCATTATAAACAAATGGACAGTTAATCTGAAAGAAGATATGTGACGCATGTTAGAGGCATGCTAGTAGTAGTGAGTAGTGACAACTGAACTAGAAGCAGCCGAAGTCAGTCTTCTGGCCTCTAAGTATGCATGTATATCTATAATTCTATTCTTTCAGTTAGCAGTAAATTAAGAGGACCATAGCAGATGCAGATGAAAGATGGTTCAACGTAATCGAGGGCAAACCTTGTGACGGCAGCATCATGTTTGAATGCAGTCCAAGTAGATATTTACTTCCTCGCATAAGCTCAATTTGAATTGGCAGGCAAAAAACTTGAAATTTTTTCCTGCAACGGTTTATGCACTGAAACTTGATGTCGGAATAAGCAACGCTGCTTTCCTACACGCTTCCGTGTTGATTTAGGTATACTGAAACGACAAAGAAGCAGAACTTGTGTTAACTTTAGGGGTTGATGCTTCACGTTTCCAGACGGGAAGCAAATAAGAAAATCCACACCGTCTAATCACCTTGGTCGTGGGTGATGTGTTCAAACTTCATCTCCAGTCTTGATAAGAAACTTAATGACCTCCAGGTCCCTGTGAACGGCAGCCAACATAATGTTTCCAATCTAATTGCATGCACAAATGAGCCTCTGTTTATCACTGAATCCAGCTGCACCCTGGATTTTTCTTTACACGCAATATTTCTTTAAGCAATCTAATTTGATTACCATCCTTCCTTGCTCCCATAATGTCATAAAGGTCGGACAAGACTACATAAGGAGTTGCATTAGCAGGATCTAGTTCAGTAAGGCGCTGAGCTGCAACATTTGCAAGATCAAGACGAAAATGATTTCTGCTTGACCCTAGTAGAGCACCCCAAACTCCAGAGTGTGGCTCAATAGTGCTGGACTGGATTAAATCAGTGGCTTCATCCAACAATCCTGCTCTGCCAAGGAGATCAACCATGCATGCATAGTGATCAGGACCGGGTTCAAGGCCATATAAGGATTTCATGGAATTAAAATATTCACATCCTTGTTCTACTAGACCTTCATGTACACAAGCTGACAACACTGCAAGAAAGGTGATTTCATTTGGCTTGAAGTTTTCAGCCTGTATTTTGGCAAACAGCTTAACAGCTTCTTCCCCAAGCCCGTTTTGGGCAAATCCAGTGATCATTGAGTTTATAGACACAATGTTGGGGGCATTAATCTTTTTGAAGATGTTATATGCTTCAGCAACATTGCCACATTTTGAGTACATTGAAACCAACGAATTCTGAACACACAATTCATATTCCATACCCTTTTTCACCAGAAGACCATGGATCTGTGTTCCAGCTCTTAGTGTTGCTAAGCAAGCTGAAGCACTAAGCATGATACTTAGTGTCAGCGAGCTTGCATGGACTGAATCCCTTAGCATCTCAATAAACCAAGTAAACGCCTCGTCACACATTTCCATGTCAACAAAGCCTGAAATGACAGCAGTCCAAGCAATATCATCTTTTTCAGGCATCATCTTGAATAACTGAATAGATCTTTCCACTTCTCCGATGCCAAGGTATCCCGAGATTATGGTTGTCCAAGAAATAGAATCTCTTTTTGGCATCATCTCAAAGAGCTCATAAGCTTTCTCAATTTCCTTGTGTTGAATATAACCAGCAATCAGTGAATTCCAGGAAACTATATCTTTCTTGCTGATAGACTGAAATACTGCATTTCCTTCATCCACGTAACCACATCTGCAGTACATTGTTATAATAGAATTTCCTAGAAATACATCCATTACAAATCCCATCCGCAGGACTAAACTATGCATCTGTAAACCTTCTCTAAGCACCCCAAAATTACCACAAGCTTCAAACATTACTGTCATGATATTTGGATTAACCGCAACAATTCCTTCCCTCCTCATACGAATAAACAAATCAAATCCATCTTTAAACAACCCATTGTTCATGTAGCCATCAACAATAGATGTCCAAGTAACCACATTTCTCTCAGGCATCTTATCAAAAAGCTCCTTAGCCTCAATGATCCTCCTTTCTTTACAAAAGCCATCAACCATAGAGCTCCAAGAAACAATATCTCTCTTTACCATGCCATTAAAAATATGAATAGCCTGCTCCAGTTTCCCTGATTTCAGGAATCCATTAATCATTGCGTTGGAACAAATAGGATCACGCCACTCAATTGGCATCACTCCATACAAGTCCCCAGCTTTTCCAAGCATGCCAGCCTTCAGAAATCCCGTAATAATGGCCCCAAAAGACACTTCATTCCTTTCACCCATCTGAGAAAACAAACTGAAGGCCTCATCCACCTTGCAGCCATTCCTTACATAGGCTGTTATCATTGCGTTATATGCAGCAGTGCTTTTGTAGGGCATTTCTTCAAACACCATTCGTGCTTTCGCAAGTTGGCCATTCTGAGAATAGGCCGTGAGCATAGCAGTATAGGAAACCACGCTTTTGCGGGACAGTTGCCTGAAGATCGCTTCCGACTGTTGAATGTTGCCCTCTCTACCATGCTTTGTGATCTGGGAATTGCACTGGACCAAAAATTTGTCGAAGGGTTCACGTATCTGAGCCGGTTTCAGGTAGCAACGTTTAAAAATTGAAAATTTCAACGATGAAAGGTGCTGAGGACGAATACCAGATCCTAACACAAATAATAAGAAGTTGAGAACACTAACTAATGCAAAAACAAACTCAGAGAAGAATAACAGTCCATCCTACTGCTTAAGATTTTCAATGCTCTACCTTTCATTTGTCCCTTTGGGCTGACAGTGACCTCAGGATACCTGAAAATCAGAAGACTTAGTTTAGAAAGAGGAATGAACCTTATCAGTCTTACAGAAGTAAGCAAAATTCAACAAAAGTAGCTGACTAGGGCATTTCAGCCTTCCTTCACTTAGTTAGGAGAAGGAATGAACCTTATAGTCTAATTTTAGTATGCAAAATTCAACCGAAGTAGCTAACTTGGGCATTTCTGCCTCCTTCAAGCAGGCACGCATCATAATTTTAACCTCAACTCCATTCCCATCCACGTTTTTCAAAACTACAACACTGTAGACGCTGTGTGCTTCACTGACAATTCTCTACTTCACTTAAGACTATGCGAACAAATGGCGAACCTGCCATTGGAGCAATCAATGGCACCATAGAGCCCTTTTTAGCTCCAGCATAACTATTCAACAAGTCAAAACCCCAGGGGCACCTCGTTCGAAATTGTAAGTACTCGTAAACTGTATCAAGTGAAGTAATAAGGGCACTGCAGGGCAATACCTGGATCACCTCAAACGAATTGAGATTGAGCAGCTAGTGGGCTCGGCTGCTACACTCCCGCGATTATCGTCGAAGCGTATAGTAGAATGCATAAGGAATCAATTTTAATAAGGCCCCGTCAGTTCTCCGCCAAATTGAAGATAATCCATGGCCGACCTTGGGCTCCTTGTTAGGTCAGCTCGAGTCGAAGCTCTATTGAGCGATTACAATGTCGAAATTTGGGGGGGAAAGGGGGTTGCCGCCAAATCTCCTTCGTCAGTTCTTCGCTTTCGGTGTTCTTCTTGTTTTTGTTCCGATTTATGTTCCAGGTAAATTACCCTCAAGGTCACTAAAATTGACTATGTATTCATGTTTGCCACTAGAAAACAAATAATATAACAGTCACTAAACAGAAAAAATAGTCACAGAAATTTAAGAATGGCAATGAGTCCATGGTTAGGTAATTTGATTGAATTATCATGACTTAAATAGATACCGGGTCAAGAACTAAATATACTCATATGTATTTTTAATGGTTTTGAATTTGGATTGAGTTCAATTTGGGTGAACTTATTTGGGCCTAACTCAAATGGTCTATTTTGGATCTCAAATGATTGTACATACAAGAATACAATATCTACTAGGCCTGGCTATTTGGTCCGGGATCGGATGTAAAACCGGGAAACGGACTAACCCGGACCGTTTAAGACCGGGATCAGATGTAAAACAAATCAATCCCGTCTTTGGTTCCAAAATAGTAAAAAACCCGGACCAATCCAATCCGGATTAAAACTTTGTTAAAACCGGAAGACCAGATAACTAAAAAAAGGACCCAGAAGCAAAGCCCGCCCAGACCCAAAGGCAAAAAGCCCACCAAGGTCTAGGCAAGCACACTGCCCCTTCCCCTCAGTCGCCCAGGCGAGGCAAGCCTATGATGACTGATGACTGATGTAGGGTTGCAGACTTGGAGCAGGGCTCTCCCTCTCCAATCTCCTTTCCAACACGACACCTCCATACGCAAATTAGAGCTGCGGAAGTCCGAACCCCCAACCCTATCATTCTCTTCGACCGGCGACAGCTCCGACCCACCTCCGCCCCGACCCAGCACCACGGCGCAATGCCGACCTCAAATCAGACACAACGACCGCGACGCCGACCTCAGTTCCTTCTGCCCCGTCCCAGGTTGCTTCGCTCCGACCAGCGACTGTGAGTCCGTGACCCAGTGACCGTCGACCAACATCTGGTCCACAACTTATCGCCCTCCATCCCAGGTTGTCACCTTCGTCCACATCTCGCTGCCCTCCGTCGAAAACAGGTCAAAACCGGATTGGGACCGGACCGAATCAAAACCGGACTGTACCCAATCCAATCTTTTGGTCCCCATATTTACAAAATACCGGACTGGAACATGGTCAATCTGGGCCAGTTTAACCGGCCCGTATAGCCACTCCTAATATCTACCGTTTCATTACCTGTCTTCAACACAATTACTAAGGGTGTTAGTTGGTGCAATTTCGGTTTAACCGCAAACGAAATTGTCCCAAGACCGCTAATCGAAACCAACATAGACTTTGGTAACCAAAAACCGCAAACATCGGGTTCGGTTTTCCCTTGCGGTTAACCAAAACCGCAGGTTCTGGTTCTCTTTTTCGGTTTGATAAAAACCGACCCTCGAAACCGATTTTTAACTACCTTTCCAATGATTCAGCCCAATTTAGAGCGACTTGATTTTGTTTCAGCCTCTAAAATCACACACCATAAAGTCATCTAAATCAATTGAACATAAAGTCTAAAGCCCACCATTCAACCACAAGTCACAATCACAACTAGACACAAATAACAAGTTCTTCATCTCCAAATCATCAACCTAAATGATCCGAGGATCTCGCTCTAATTCATCTAGCTCATAGTCATCATTTACTCCAAGATCTTCATCTAGCCCATAGTCATCAACCTAAGGTTCCCTCTGTCGAGTGCAAAGGGGAGTTAGAGAGGGGTGACTTTCGAGTTCTAACTCTTAAAAATATTTGAGACTCTTGATGGAGGGTTATTTGCAATAGGTGAGAATTGGAATTTTTGGAATTACGACTTTGATTGGCTTTGAATCTTATAACTTTTTCTCTTAGCCAAAGTCCAAAACCATGTAGTCACACTAGTAGGTGGTTATCAATTTTCTTATCGGTTAACCGATTAGTCGGTTAGCGGTTAACCAATAAGCAAAATCCTACTAACCGAAACCGAAACCAATAAGAAATTAACGGTTATCGGTTAACCACTAATCGACTTTATCGTTTCAGTTATCAGTTAAAACCGATAACCGACTAACCGTTTATCACCCCTATCAATTACACTTTAATGTTGGTGTTTCCACCTTTTAGTTTGTTTTCATAACAAAAAATAAGAAAAAATGCATTAGAATTGGATTAGGAGCTTGTGTGTATACTATTGAGGATTCTTAAATCTCAATTATTTATCTGAATCATGCAACAATCTGGTGTTTCGTTTCACTTTGTTGATAGGCGAAACAATCGAGTGACCAATATAGTGAATAAAAATACCCTTTCGTTATTTCTTATTAGAGTGATAGATTTTGATTTCATCCCATGAGCGTGGTAAATTATGTAAACTAGGAAATTTCTATTTTCTTGATAATTCAAGTGAGCTTTTGATCGACAAAAAAATCTCTTTACGTAGATTTGAGCAACTAAAAAAATCTCTTTACGTAGATTTAATCAACTAAAATCTGAAAGGCCTACACAATGACCATATGATTCTAGAAAGGCCTACACAATATCCTACATTGCATCTAAGTATGTAAAAATTACTAGTGAATTTGTTATCTTATTTGTATCGATTATCTCATCTAGATTTATCTTTAGTCCTTGCCATCTCATGCGGGTCAAGCTATTGGAGTTGGAAATTTGGCAACATCATATACATCGATAATAATCTAAATAATTCAATTGATTAGTAATTATTCTACTATACTTAGTCTTTAACTATAATTAAATTGAACTGTTCTTATAGGGTATCACAATTCCAAATACTCCTTTCATGAACGCCATGCCAAATATTTTTCCAGTGATGCACCTAAACCAGGTTGGTAAACTCTTAACCAAGTTGTGTATGTTTAATCAAGCTAACTAATTATTATATTATTATTAGCCTAACAGTACTTATTTGTTTATTTTTACAGGGTTCGTTTCCTCCCTTGTACTCTGAAAATTCAATGTGGCAATTAAGATATGAGTATATGATATTTCTTTTTGTATTTTCTCCCAATAGAAGAATCTTGCACTATATTGTGTGAACCAAGGCCTGGCCAATGGTATTCTGGATTTTTGCAAAACTCCAAATCAGACACTCGGCAGCATGAACGTTGACATCCTTCTGAACTTTTCTTTTTCAAGGACACTGCGGATTATGTCATTATGGATATCTTTTGTTTTCAGGAAAGACCCCTTGTGAAAATGACCCTTATGTATGCTTTTGTATTGCCGTAGAAATACTCTACGGCAGCATGAACGTTGACCCTTATGTATGCTTTTGTTTTGCCGTAGAAATGCTCTCTCTTTGTTGGATGGTTGATTACCTTTTAGGCTTTTACCATTGAGAAATGAGAATGATGTTTGTGGGTGGACATCTCTAAATTATCTATTGATATTTTATTTCTCTTATTTCTTGATGGCAAGGAGATGAGACATAACACACTACTTATAAAAGTTAGGTTTAATACACTTGTATATCCAAAACTTTCACGATTGTGCCAATAATATCCAAATTTTTCGAAATACCACTTATATCCATGTTTTAAAGTTATTCTTTGCCAAATCTATCCATTTCCCAATATATTTTTGGTTAAATACACTTGTATATCCAAAAACACCGTTAAAGAATGTGAAGGAATTGGATATAAGTGGTATTTCGGGAAATTTGGATATTATTGGCATAACCGTGAAAGTTTTGGATATACAAGTGCATTTACCAAAAGTTAGTAATACTGTAGGTAATTTTTAATCAAAGTTAGAGTAATACTGTAGGTGATTTTTAAAAGGAAACCCATTCTTTTGATGATTTCCCCGGTTGGGCCCCTATGGCTATTTGTTTGCGTTCGGATTCCTTTCTCGTCATTGCCGCTGGAGAGAAACAGAACAATGAACTGGGACAGTGGTGATTGGTGAGAACGAGACGAGAGAAAAATGGGTCACCATCTTCACTTCTTCGTTCTGCCAAAAAGTAATAGGGGCACTACTAATTAGCAGTGTCCATTAAACTGTACCGTACCGGCGGTTAAACCACGAAATACCAGTATTGGAGGCTAAACCGATAGGTGGTATTTACCGGTATAACGTTTGAACTACGGTTAAACCACGGTTTTACCATAAAATACCCTACCGCTGACTTTCCCGATACGGTCCCCGGTACGGTTTCATGGACCATGCTAATTAGAGAGATACAAGAAAAGAAAGGAAAGGTCAACAATTAATAATTTAATAGCAACAATAAAAGAATAAATTAAAAAAGGGAAAAAGCTAACAGCAAAGCACTCCAACGCAGAAAAGAGAGAGAGAAAGAGAATACATATCCTGTGTGTGAGTGCAAATGTTTCATAATAGAGATTATTATTGATTAGCTCGTTTTTAGGAGTTGTTGTTTTGACTCCTGAGGACAGGTACTTGGGACTCCTCTCCCAACTTCGTCGGTCCAAATCTCTTTCTTTTCAATTCATTGAGGAGGATTTGGCAGCTCGAATTAGGACTTGGAAGACTAAGGCACTGTCCATAGCGGTAAAAGAAGTGGTAATCAAAGCCATTGGGGCTGCTGCTCCTATTTATGCTATGTCTTCTTTCAGACTTCCTCGAGAAACTTGTCGTCGTTGCAACAGTCAGCTATCTAAATTTCGGTGGGCGGGCCAGGACAAGGAGAATGGCATTCACTGGATATCTTGGAGTGCTGTCTGTCAGAGTAAGTTTGCTGGTGGGTTACGTTTTTTCGGATTTTAATCGTTTTAATGTTTCTTTGCTAGCCAAACAGGCATGGCGCATCCTCTGCAATCCCGACAGCTATCTAGCCCGGATTTATCAGGCTAGGTACCATCCTCAAAGGAGATTTCTTGATGCGACAGCGGGCTCCCGACCTTCATGGGCATAACAAGGCATCTTGGAAGGGCGGGACCTCCTCCTCAAAGGCTTACGGTGGAAGGTTGGAGATGGCTCTCGGATCCGCTCTTGTCTGGGACCTCATCTTTCATGTTTCTCATTGTTGGAAAAAGGATCTGTTAACCTCTCTTTTC